TTAAATAAAATATCGATCCCTTCCTCTTTCTCTCACTCTCTCTGCTCCCTCCGTCCCTTCTAAATCCGCACCGAGGATTTCATCGAGTATTTCATCGTGGAAAAGTAAATGTATGCTTTCGAAATGGAATTTTCTCGAACAGGGCATACGTAAATACCGATTCGCCGGATGTGAAAATGTATCGGCATCGATAATATGTTTCTATGGGCTGTCGTGTAATTTGTCAACGCGAACTAGTATTACGAGCATGGTCGATCGATCGATCCAAGCCGCGGGATTCGAAAAAATGCGATACGGTGGAGCTCGCGTGTCCGGTTTTTACGATATGTTCTCCCTCTTAAGCCCCTCGTTGTCGCGTATCGGCTGCACCGTCGACGTCCTCTTCCCGTTGGCGTCTTTCACGAAGCCCATAAACTTCGATGGGAATCGAGTTTCTTAATAACCTTCCTGCACGAGGTTTCCTGCCGGCCGGCTCGTAAATAAATCAGAGACGGAGAGAAATACCGAACTACGACCGACTAAGCGAGCGAACGAGCGAATGTACGAATGGACGAGCGCGTATGCGTGTGTGCATATCTGTGCGCGCCGGCTAAACTCCATTCGCGTACACTTTCATTGAAGCGTTCAGAAAGTTTTTTCCTAATTCGAAATCGTGCGACCTTCGTTTTATTCTTACTCAAGACCCGTGAGACTGCGAAATAAAGAGAGAGAGAGAGAGAGAGCACGCGAAGCGCTCTCGATAATCGTAATGAAACACTCCGTGCCGTTCTTCTCGCTCCACTGGTGGAAAATCACGAGGATAATCGTAATAGAAAAACTCGACACTCGCATCCAGCCCTCTTTTCTCTTCCGCGGCGCGAAGACGAGTTACAGAGTATTACGTATAATTATCTCTTTTATAGATATTACGAGCGCAATCCCGCGTCCTCACATTGAGGACAGACTTAAAATTCCAACGCGCGACAGCTTCAAGTCTAATCTTCGTTCTTTCCGTTCATGTACTTAATTCGGTGTCGAATTAATTCCTGCCGTACGATCTTGAAATTAAAATATCGCGTTTAAATGAAGAAGCATCCTTCTCTTCTTATAAATTATCACGTAGCTCGCGCGCGGCAGAGGAGAAAAGAGAAGCGACGTATCCGAGAGGTGCACCTTGTTCTCTAGTGGGAGAAAATAAATTCGCACTACATGTAAAACCGATTTGCGCGGAGAAATTCCCCGACTTTCGCGTATTATTGGATCGACGTGGAAGAGAAAAAGCGGCCGGTAAACAGCTGGCGGGACGCCAGCGCGGCGGGAACGCATAATTCTACCGCGGCTCGTTTATCGCCGGTTCCCGTCCGGAATAAGGGCGCGATCGTATCGAAATGTGAATAACGTTCCTACTAAAGAGAGTACGAAAACCGGCACGTGGTCGGCCTGGAGAGATCGTCGAATAGAAAAGTTTTCCCGAATACGCCGCCGATGCGAAATATCATAAGGCGGTGAGGGCGCGAGCATGCGCGAGCGAGTCCGACGTCGACCGTAAACTTTTATTCGCATTCAAATTCTCTTTGGAACGGCCCTTAAAGCGAATACACTCACGTACGTCGCCGGTATATACCTCGGCTGGGAGCGGTCGTTCGCCAACGCCGTTAGAAACCTAGGCCAGTTTGTAGCGCCGGACGAATTGCGCTCCGCAAACGGAAATTCTAACTACGAGAACGGGGAAGAGATAATCGATCGATGATCGCACGCGAAATTGTCGGTCGTAAAAACGTACGGTGATCCGTGTGACGAAGCCTGACATCGTGCCTGACGATAGATGTCACGAGACAACATCGGGAAACCGAAATTGATGTTTTACTAGTTAACGGGACAAAATAAGTACAACCGAAAAAAAAAATGGTGTTGCTTTGTCAAGTTTTCATTAATGGTGTTTTCGCTAAAGGAGAAACGTCAGAAAATAAGTCAGAAAATAAGAAACGTCAGAAAATAAGTAAATCAGCAGAATAATATACACGTAACAACGAAATTCGACGTAACAATAATATAGGAATTTGTTAATAATTTGTTGCTCACAAAATATTGTTGTTTAAACTTATTTCGCGAGTAACAAAATCGGGACTGACATCTTTTGTGTTGCAACTAATTCCTATATTATTATTATTATTGAATTTCGTTGTTATATATATTGTTCCACTAATTTAATTTTCTTTAGCAAAACATTATTAACATTATAAACATTTAAAAAGAAACTAAGAAAACCACAAATTTTTTCTTCGGCAACTTTTTGCAACTTTTGCAACTTTTTGCAACAAATGAGCATTTGTACCTCGAGGCAACAAATAAAAAGATAAAAGTAGTTCTGCTCGTTTTGTTGACGCTAGCTTATAAGACGTCCAAAATTGCGACATACTCGCAAAACAGAGGTATAACAGAACGTGTATTTCATGTATTTTCTATTTTCGCCAATCAAACAACGGGATGTTAACTTTTTTGTGTTCGTTTCCACTCTGAATAATATCTAAATTCATACGGACATTTTAACAACAGAACTGCGAAACCCTGAAGTAGCCGTGGGCGTAACATCGTGCCACATCGAAATGCTCCAGTTTTCATCTGTAAATTTCATATCGAGATGAAAAGCTATTTTTTCAGTTCAAGAAAATAACCTGAAGTGCCGCGAGCAAAACGTGTTTTGACCTGCATTCGTATCTCACAAAGTAACATGAACGATATTATTGAATAATAAATACATTAAGAAAATATTGCAGTAAAAATTATCGCAATATTTTAATGCTAAATCATACCGGAATCATGAGTGAAATTATTATATGTATTGTAATCTTTAGTAATGTTTACAATAAAATAGTTTACTAAAGATTACAATACATATCACAATTTCAGTTATAACTTCGGTCTAGTCCAGCATTACAAAATTGTGTGGTAATTTTTACTACAAAATTTTATTCGTATAGTTATACGACCATAAAATAAATTTAGAGTATAAAATATACGTTATAGCTGATCGTTTGAAAATTCAGTTTCCATCAAAGTTTCACATTACAGGCGATATCTGATAGTTGAAAGAAACTTATTTCTCCTTTCCCGATAGACTGCACAACGGGAGAATCCCTTTTTACCGCGTTCGCGTTAATGAACTACAGATTAAGGGACGTCGCGCTTATATTTCTAAGGACTCTTCGCAGTTACGTCGATATCCACGAACGGAAATCGTCAAATTTGATCGAGCGAAAAGTCAATCGAGTTACTTCGTTCCGTGAATCGAGAATCATCCCTACACCGACCGTTTCAATCCTGCAAATTGAGTCTGCTTTTTCGGAAGCAAAGAGAGGCCGAGATAGAAAGAACGACCGGTCTGTCCACGATTTCAAAACTTCTGTCGTACCCGCCGATTGTTTTCAGTCATGCAAAAAATAACCCACGTTCAAAGGGCGAAATTAAAATCTACGCAAAAGTACGGCGGTGTCCAATAAACGATACAACCTTTCCGTGCAACGTGTCCCATCACTTTTACCCCCTTCTTTTCATTTGCCGATTCTTTAATCAAGGCAGAATCAATATTCCTTTGATTAAAATTTTTTTCACACATTTTTCACAAACTTTTAACAAAAATAATAATAATAAAAATCATTATTAAATATATTGTAACCAAATCTCTTTGATTACAATTTTCTCGAAATGGTGAGAACTACAAACATACTCAATTATAAAATGCAATTTCACAATATAATTAAACGCCTGAAGGCAGAAAGCTTTATTTATTCTGTTATTTTATTTTCGAATCGTATTTTTATTTGGTGATAGTGGAATGATATTATGTAACGGAACACGAAGCTATAGCTCGGGATACTCATGGTATAACTGTTGCATGGCAATTGATATTTAGAACTAATATCGTAATTAATATTCGTCGATGACATAATTGCCTCAATATTATAAATTATTCATTGAGCGGCAACGGTCAACGATAAAATTTGTTCCACGCAATATTGTGCGGTATAGAGAAGAGAGATGTCAGTTATAACAAAAAATATTTTTTAAATTGTATCTTCTTTATTATTAATCAGAGAAAACCCAAGTTTATACGTGGCATTAAATAATTCTCCTGGTGATTAAGCGGGAGAAGAAGAGATAGAAAAAGACATCACGCAAGACATATAAATGGTTTATTCTCCCAAAATGTCCAAAACATTAGTAACAAACGTGTAAAATCGCACCGAAACGTTAACGAGGTCGAAATCTCGCGAAAACACGACGCGCGAGCTGTTAAAGGTCAGTGCGAGACATCCCGCAGCAGCACGTGTCTGCTCCGAAAACACGTGTTTCCCCCTCTCCCGGTGCGCATGGAAACACTCTCACTGAAGTCTTCCTTTCGTCGGTACAAGATCATAACGGACGGAGCGCACGTGAATGAGAATACACACGCGGCATTCCACCGTATGGCGATTTTGCGCCGGGAAAAGGTGCGACCGCAGGTAGAAGTCGCAAAATGAAACCAACCTTGCGACAATGTCCACGCAACTCTGATACAGATGGCTATCAAGCGTCGAAAAGTAACGAAAAGCTCCGGAACACACGTGTATAGCGAAGAAACGAGCATTCGAGCGTCTGACAGTCGGCATCGCACGGCCGATCGCGGGGGAGCGCGCAGACGGTCGTTGCCATGCAATGCGCGCGCGAGTGGGACAGAAGGAACACGTGCGACGAATTGACAGGAGCTCCGACGCGTCCTCTGCGACGAGGTAAAAACTTCACGGAGAAAGAGAAAGGAAGAGAAATGCTACCGCGCGCGTGACTGCCGAGTATATCGGAAACGAAACAGAGGGAGAGAGAGAGAGAGAGATGAACAGTCGAACGTCGGCGTCTCCGTGGAACGCGTCCCCGGCGTACTCGCTGCACGAAAAAAGGAGCACGACGACCGTAACTAAACGCCGAAACCGAGCGAAGAGAGGTTAGAATCGCGCCCTTCGTGACGCACTATGGGGGTCACTTACCTCGTGCGCCCGCGGATGCTGGTGGTCGCAGTGGCGGTGCTCGAACATCCCATTCACGAGGTTCACAGCGCACATCGCGAGCAGAACGGCGAGCGACGACACGCCGGTGGTGCTGCAGCAGCGGCGGCGCGGCATCTTCAACCGCACTCGGGCCGCCATCACAGACGACGCTTGCACTCGCAATGCATGACACATACTGAGCGCGCCCGCCGGCGCCGCGCATTTATATACCCGGCGCAGCAGGCAGCGCCGCGCTGTTCACGTTCGATACCTCGAGGAGCGCGGCAGAGGCGGCACTCCGACGTCGACGACGACGACGACGACGCTGGGATAAACCCCTCGTAAGGAACCTGCAAAGAAATCGAAGGACCGTTGTAGGAGAGAGAGACGTGCTGAGGGAAGAGCTTAAATTTAATACCGCGCCGGATATTCTTGCCCGAGAGCGAATAAAATGCGACGGACGACGTCCGCGCTCTATCGTCTGTCGCGGCGAATCCGCCGCGGAAAAGTCGGAACGAACGACGTCGAAGCGTTTATCGCGCTATCGGTGAGATTAGAAAATGAGTGATGTATACAATGACATATAAACGATATGTTTCACGATACGGAGGGAATACTTCACGAATGAAAACGAATTTCTCACAGGAAAGATCTATTTCATGTCTTTATTTAAAAAAAAAAGAAAAAAAAGTTATTCGTATCTTATCCTAAAGATATTTGCTTCGCGTTTACACGAATAATTTATTCCGCGTCAGATACTTTGAAATTCCGACAAATAAAATGATACACAGAAAAAAAAAGTCGTAAATCAATGATATTCTTATATGTATATATAAGCAAAAATATCATAATAGTCTTAGACTTTTAGTTTTGAATTGAGCGCAAATAATATTTGTATCAATACAAAGTCAATTGAATAAAAATTAAAAATATTCTATGAAGATTATAATATTTTTGCTTATACATGGATGTTCAATGTAACGGTCCGTACATGATTTTTGGGATACTTCTGACAGTTAAAAAAAAGGTAAATATTCATCTGTTTCATGCAAGCTATAACTTGCAATAAAAAAAAAAAAATTCTTTTAATAAAAAATCAAGATATTGAATTTTTTAAATAGCACCAAACAATTTTTTCCATATTTTACCAAGCAATTTTTGCCATAAAATTTTTTCCATTAATTTCCCATACCTATGACATTTCATTGCTACTATTGTAAAAAAAAAAGAAGCGGTAATATACTGTTAAACCGAACAAGTTTTCGATACAACTTAAATTTTAGTGCACTACGTCGTGTCGTTCACGGTTCCTGGAAATATTTTAAGACAAGCTGTTTGATCTCTGTACCGTTATGATGAGAGTCGAGAGAACATTTCTACGTTTGCTGTCAATAGCATGTGATATTTGCGCTCGAAAATGCGAAGGAAACAGATGGAGAACTTTTGCAAGATCTGATAACATTCGGTATTTACTTGCTATAAAATAATTTACAGATTATTGAAGCAAGCTTAACGTTTGCGATATATCGACTAAAATCCCCACTATAAAAGTGAATAAAAATGAATAATGAACAAACATAAACATATAAATTAGTTAAAAATTTACGATGAATTTAAAAGGCAAAGTCGATAGAGTTGTAAGAATAAAGCTAAGAAAGAAACATTAATAATTTACATTTCAAATAATAAAGATAACTGACATATAGCAATAGTTTTATGTCGACAACTTTTTAATAACGATGCAATTGACAAAATTATGAATGACAGATATTAACGTAAAAGGAAAATTCGTAGTTTCCTCGTGTGTCATTTTAAAAGGAAGGATAACCTAGTTGAGTAAACCGCGCGTGTCTTGTAGATATTATTATTATTTTATTCAGTTTACTTAATAAAATTGCGTATGTACGTAGTTATAGTAAATTGTTATGTATTCCGGAAACAATTCACAATGGAGATGAGGCACGTGCAAACTTGCGGGCATTTTACAGGCAACTATACGATTATAATTAATTCGCTCGTTTCGCACACAGAACGCAGTTACTGTTTTTCCGCAACGGTGCGATTATTACGCTCTGATTGTCGCGACATTGCCGCGAGACAAAGCTGGTAAGCAAGCAAAGGAGAAGTGTAACATCGAGATTGCCCGATGCACCTGATGCAATCGTGGTTTAACATCGCGAAAAAAGGTGGAAACTCGCCGAGTGCGCGGCCCGGGTAGAATATATACCGAATAAACGAAGACTCGAACGAAAACTATAGATACTGTTGACAAAAGCTGGATATTGTATTTACTCGAGAAGAGTCGGCAATACTGCCTCAGTCCTGGATTTGATGTCGGAAGCGAGAAAAAAATACATACGAACAATTCCAACAATTATATATAAACATATAAATGATTTTTCACTAACAAAATAACGTTTCAGAGGTTGATTTTGAAAAAAGGAACCACCAGGGACTTGTAAAATAAAACAAATATATCATAGTTTATTCAATGTTATTGTACAACTTTCATAAATATGGTACATATGTATATTTCGTAAAATCTGTTTCTTTTTTCACTTACTTATCGACAAGTGTAATACAAATGCAACAAGCATATTATCACATAACATTTATAAAATCTTAAATAAGGAAGAAAATTTTGGCCACTAAATAGCACAGAGTTTAGCGTACCAACTTTTGCTAGCGTCGCAATTTAAATTTACACAGTGAGGACATCGCATCAGAAATTTAGGATTTATAGCCTGTTTCGATCTAAGATGAGACACTACAATGTCCGCCAAAGCATCGATGAACAAAGGGTGAACATTGGGTGTCGCGGCCCTTCGTATCTTCTCGATGCCAAGCTGGAAAAAATTACAAATGATATTCTCGTTCCTCCAAAAAAAAAAAAAATATAAGATTCGTCAGCAGTTCTTACTTCTTCGGCGAGTTCCTGACAGTACTCTATATCCAATTCATGAAGGGTCTCGATATGTTCGTTTACAAATGCAATTGGTACCAGAATGAAATTTTTCTTGCCTTGTTTAATGTAGCCCTTTAGCGCTTCGTCGGTAAAAGGTCCTAACCACGGCATGGGTCCGACCTGAATATGCATATTTCAAAATACATAACACGCAAAGCTCTCTTTCTCTCTCTCCGGGTCGATGAATCTCATTAAATCTTACTAGCAAATCTTAAAAGGAATTTATTTACGACAACCTTTATATACCTTTGACTGCCACACCAAGCTGTATGGATTGCAGTAATTTAATTCTTGCATTACTAATGCCACCGTGGCTCCGACTTCCGCGGGATACGAATCCCCTCTATTCACAACCTAGAGTGATTGCGGAAAGAACGGGTGAAACTCCATTTTCGAAATTAAATGCACATTAATTTAATAATGACAACCTGCAGCGGCAAAGAATGAGCTGAAAATAGAATTATAACGTCGTCCCTTTTCTCGCTAGAAAAGTGGGCGAGCTCCTCTTTAATTCTTTCGACAAATGTTTTTACAAGGAGGGGATGTGTGGCCCATCTATCTATTATGCTCCATTTCATCTCGCTCGGTAATTCTCTGCAAAGACGTAATTCCAATCTGTTCTGTATGTATCTATTTTCGTATAATTCATCCCGTGTCCCATTTAGTTTTTCGCTCTTGCTCTACGCAAGACAACGCGACGCAAAACAACGCGTAAAGCGTTTCACACAACTTAAGTATACTTTGTACAATAAATACGATCTACACGCTCGGTATTCCGAATAAATCTATCCATAATGAATGAAAGACAAACAAAGTATAATCACCTAGTCCTGTAATAATTGTATATAGCGTTAAAACTGGAACCCGAAGTCGAACAACTATACTGTGGATACTGAGAAAAAAGCACAGTGTGCCGTACTCCGTCGCTGAAAAAAAGGAAAAGCGCACGATCGATTCCAATTACCTCATAACGCGCGCCTTTTATACGTCGCGCATGTTTACGTTGCATTACGCCTAAGAAAATATGACGGCCGTACTTGCGTATCCTCTCGAGCGTATCCTCCGTGAGAGGATCTGCGTATCGGAAGGCAACGTAATATTTATGAGGTGCGGTTTCGGGCGAAATTTTATCCAACTTTTCACATAAAAGTTCACCCTGTTGGGTCGTCCATTGTAGAATCGGCGAACCGCCACCAATCTCGGAATACTTTTTCTGCACCTCCGCGGTGCGACGTTTCGCTATCCAGGGTCCCAATTTACTGCAACATACGTCTGTAAAAGATCTCTCTCCGAAACAACGGCCGGCTATCGTCAGTGCTGCGCTACAAAATCTAGGAAACCTTTGAACTGGCAGTTGAATCATATCGCGATCGGTCATTATTCGTAATAAGTACTCGTAAACTTGATTTATGTTGGAAGGGCCACCCATGTTTAACATCATTATACCGGTCTTCGGCTTCGTACTGTCTCTGTCTGCTGGATTCACAGCAACGGAGGCATTGCGCCGTGCCACCGCAGAGAATTTTGTATACTGTCGACCTATATGACATCATATTAGTGTTACCTGCCACTCACTCAGCTATTGCACGAGAAGAAAATCTCGACAATCAATGGAAGTGTGTATAAATTCAGAAACAAGAACAAAAATATTTCATTTACAACCAGACAGACTGTGCACACCATATAGCTGCGTTCCTATTTGATAGATAGAGTAGTATTTAATTGACCAATATCCTATTTGATAGATAGAGTAGTATTTAATTGACCAATCAAGACAAAAAGAGCAAAGATTTCTTTATTATGATCGACTAATTAATCCTACTCTATCTGTCAAGTAGGATTTTGGAACACAACCTAGCATGGTAACACAGCGTTCAAGCTCAATTACAAGCAGCAATTATGACACTCCAAAATTCGTAATATTGAACAACAATTAGGAACAAAAAAAAAAGTGAGAAGTACTATGTATCATTTTAACCGATAAATAATAATTTTTAATTTCTCAACGATAAGATTGCAGTTAATGTCCTCAAAATGTTACATAACCTACGACTATTAACTAGAATTCTGTTCTCAATATCAGGTACTTTCGTTATCATACTATCGTCATTCGTTGTAATCAATTAGTTACATCAATATCACACAGATGGTTTAGAAAATGAAAATATACTCACTTACCAAAACACAAGAAGTTCGACAAGCTGTTAACCCTCATGTCGAAACGAGCGTCGACCTTCGAATTCGAGAGCTGCGATGTACAAGTTAACACAAACGCCGTACGTTTCGCACAATCACGACAATAAGTACCGTTAAGATTAAGGCGAACACGATATCTCGGCGAGGTTATGTTCGACACGACAGCACAAATGCGTTTACCACTTGACAATTGCTTCGGTCGAGCTGCCACCTAACCAGCGAATTTCGAAGCAACACACGTCCTCGTGGTCCTACGTTGGACCAGTTTATGAGGAAGTATCACATGTCGAGTTTGATTCCGACTCGAGATTGCATCCTTCGTCCGCAACGACGCGATCGATCGACTTACGGCGGAGTGTTTGTCCGACTTACGATTAGGCGATCCGGGCCAGTGCCCGAAAGTTGTCGCCGCGTGTCACGAATCAACCCGACAAATTTGCACCGTCGTTTACCGCCAGTCACGAGCAAGTCGCGACGGGGATCATGACAGAACGTGAGAACGAGGAACTGGCACCTTCGGAACTGGGCACTCTCGACTTGTGAGTAAAATACGTACCGTGATCGCGCGACACCCGTGGTGCATTACTCGCCGCTTTTTCTTTTTTTCTCACACACGTCTCTCTGTGCCTCTTGCAGCTGGGAGAACGCGTACGCGCAGGAGCTCGACAACTTCCGCGATCACGGCGACGTGGGCGAGATATGGTTCGGCGCGGGCAATTCGCGCAAAGTCACACGGTAGGCGGAACAAAGCGGATTAAGAACCACGAACACGCGTCTCTGGTGTAAACAGCAGCCCGAAAAATCGATGGACTTTTACCGGGAAACGTAAACACCGGGACGTTCGGTCAGGTGACGCCGGATCCTCCGCGCGTTATCCGTGGCGACATCTGTCGGATCACTCACGAATGATACGCTCTGATAATGCTCGAGCCTGGGTAAAGTCGCGCGGTTGTCGAATAATCGGAGAGCACCGACTTGTTATCGACTGTGTCGAAGAGAACTCGTACAAGTACAGGCAGTTCAGAAAAGAACAGACCTATTGTAGATTCTGTACTATCACTTACCAGTCTCTCCTTTAAGTGGAAGTCCGCTTTGACGTAACCCAACAAATGCTCGACACTTGACGATATTCTCTTCCGGTGGGGTTTTCACCAGCACGAAAGCGAGAAACTCTTTGCCGGTGGATCGGGAGAGTGAAACGTCCGATTCGAAGGTTAGCCGATTTTCTGTTGCAAATTTTACTCGATCCGCCATGATGCAACAGATGCCCGAAATTTCATACGACGCTCGCGACGAACCGACGTTTCGCGAGACGTTTGCTCTTTCGGCAATTGTTTGACGGTATCTCGGCAGAATCAACGCGCAAAGCTTGTTTTCGGCACTCCCGGCGGTAATTCGGACGCGAGACTCCTTCGGTGTGAGTCGGGAGTCTGGATGCTGCGATTTAAATTTCTTATCGCCATAACGGACGAACGCGAGTCGTTACAGTCAGTACTTCTGATGACCCGTTCTGCTCAGATATTCGCTCTCGGCGGTTATTTGACGATAGATTATCACGGCACACGCGCGATATGCCCTCTCGGCATTCCCGGTGGCGACGATTCCCGCACGAAAACGGTCTACGACAGATCGAAATCGTAGTTGAGACGAGACGGCTTCTCAAATACGAACTACCGCGTCGCCATTCGCCTCGCACTGACGTGAGCCTCGCAACGGTTACGATTATCGAAGTATCGAAACTCTCGACGCAGCGTCTGCGCCGTGCTATTCGAACTAACGGTGGCTTGTTCGTATATTATTTATTAAAAATCGTGCAATCGCCAATATATACAAAATATGAGATAAGGAACCTGAAATACGAAAGTCAAAAATATTGAGATAAACGATCGAGAAATTATTGAAAGATCAATCATTGTGTATCTCGATTTCTATGTCGCGACTGTTTAAACAACTGTGAGAGGTCCAACGCGGTAAGAAGCTAGTGACGTCACGACTGCTTCGTGGCGCACGACTCGAATTCGAATCGTGACTCCACGTTCGTTGCGTCCCTTTCTTTTCCGTGCAAATGATAAGCATGAGAATGCCGTTTTACAGAAATACATAATGTTACTGCGTCATGAGTATCTATACGTATCTACGATACATCCGGATAATGATACATCATAAAATTAATAGCGTATTACAGGCTAACTGTCCAAATCTAGGTGGTCACGCGAATCCCCGTAAGACTGTTGGTCTTAAAATAATATTATACGTTAACCCGTTGCGGTCCGCACTGTATTTGCAATTTCGTCCCAGGCGGTCCGCACAGATTTCGCCAATCGCTCATCCGCTTGGTAATCATGTCCTCCGATTCTTCATTGCTTTCCACTTCAAGTGCGCACATTGTTTGAAATTGTCTTTCTATGACCTCGTGACAGTCACTGTCACTACTTTCAAATTCATTGTCACGCACCGTTCTACGTCGTCTTTCCTGTCTAGCCATAATCTTTCGAAAAAAATTCTCTTATGGCAATTTCGACTTTGAAAATATTTTTAACTGCACTACAAATTCCAACTATACGCCACAGTGGGTTTGAAACTATTAAAATTAAGCTCTTGCTTTCAAGAGGCATTGCCTATTCGGGATATGCTACACCGCAGCTTTTATCTTATCTCTTTTAGCGTACAATAACGTTTCTGTCAACGTAGGACGCGTTGGAAGTTAAGTTCTACATATTTGAAACGCGGTGTCGAGTGTCGCTCGACATAGGACTTGCTGGAACGAAACGCTGTGTCGAGTGACGCTCGACATAAGACCGCAACGGGTTAATAGTAATGTTGCGTAACGATATACGAGAAGTGAATATTAATCTTTGCTGAAACTCGGGTTGTTCGCATAATGAAACCAATTTCCATCGTTATTTCGAGGATGTTGAATAAATGAAAGAAACGAAAGTGAGAGAATGTTATAATAATCACGAAATTATCGCGATTATAAAAAACAGAGACACGATTACAGGGTCTTATTCTGTACAGGTGGATTGCCACGAAGTTGGATTTGAATAAAGAGAACGATAAGGTAATCGACGTGGGATGTGGTAACGCGATGACTTTAGTGGAACTTGCAAACGAAGGATTCGCGAACTTGACAGGGGTCGATTATTCACAGAAAGCGGTGGATCTGGCCCGCATGGTGCTGAATGATAACAACTTGTCAAATGTGAAATTAGAAGTCTGCGATATTCTCAACAGTACGCTGCCGCATGACTTCAAAGTTGTTCACGATAAAGGCACTTACGATGCTATTAGTTTAAACCCAGACAATCCGACGACGAAGAGACAGAAATACATAGAAAACGTATACCGCCTTCTTTCGCCAGGAGGATATCTGGTTTTGACTTCTTGCAACTGGACGAAGGAAGAATTGCTGAGGCACTTTACAAATCGTTAGTTTTTATGACTTGTATAATTTGTGATAAAATTTCTCTCTCTGTCTTCGAAAGTCGTCGGAGAACTTAGCGAAATAGATTTCTATCGCATTCTCCTCGGTAATCTTGTTAAAGATTGTTAAAGATTATTTCAAAAATTCTTATTAATAGAAAACTCCAAAGCATCGTGAAAATACGTTAATGCGATAATGCGGCTATTGTTCGCAGATTTTGAACTCGAAAGTCAACTACCAACAGACACGTTCCAATTTGGCGGACAGACGGGAAACACGGTAACACAATTGGTGTTTAAGAAGAAATGATTGATCATGATGTACTTCTGCGCAGGAATAAATAAAATATTTGCAACCCGTGAATTATTTCGACGACTTCTTTCTCCGGGATGCGTTACAAGAATAACTATTTCGAAAAGATTCAAAGATTTATTTGTGCACAAAATATTCAAATACATAAAATGATATTAGAGTGAGGACAATAATTCTAAGTATTCTTGATTAGTATCATATTACAAAGTTTACAAAAGATACTTATACTAAATTAAACACACGCCTGCGATAGACTTCTACGATTAGATTAAGTGTACGACAGCGGAAAGAATTATATATTTATATTATATTATTTGTCGTGTGCATTACATTTTTGGTAATTAAGGCATCGTTGGCAGAATTTCATATTTCTCACAAGAAAATCTTTATAAGTTGATTCAATAATTGTTTCGAGGCGTATTTCAAATCGGTTTGCGGATCGACATTGCATTAAGATGAAATTGACATAAATCGACGAAACGTCAAATTAGATTGATTGATTGTGAGCCTTAGAATTAAAATACTGGTGTAAACAACTTTACGTGATTTGCGCTTGGGTTATATCGTTCTAAGATTTTTTTCTCTACCTTACAAGTTAAGTTCTACATATTTGAAGAAAATACGTCAGAATAAATTATATTAATTTGTGCATATCCGAAAGTTTTTATTACTTGGTGCTGTTAAAACACGAAGCCTAAATATGTACACTGCAAAAATTGTCTATTAAAGCGTCACTCTCTGTTATCTCAGATTTTAAAGATAGCCAAAGTATGAATCTAACGATAAGTTTTACGTGTATTATGTAAATGTTATACCGTTTTAATCTTCCGTACTCATGCTATGATCTCTGTTGAAACGCAACATGAAAATCGGGATATGGTAATAGTAATCAAATGATAGATCACGCGATAAGATAGAATTTGCGTGGAATACATTATTGAACTATTTCCCTCAATTGGACTCTTTTTGCAACGACTGTAATAGTTTTTTTTCTCTTTCAGCTATAGCAATAATAATGTTAAAATGCTTGATATATCGAAAATATACACGAGTACGGAGGATCAGTGCTTATATTTAAATTTAATTAATTAATAATCGTTCGCATATAAGGATGGTTCAAAATTAACGTTCGGTTTCCCCACTTAATCGCGAGTATAAGCTGCGTATAAATAGATAATCGGATTAAACTGTTAATATTATGGCAAGATAAAATTGACGATGTTACTTGAGTCATCGTTTATTTATACAGATTCAAAGTTAGCGATAAATAGAAAGATTCCGAATTGTTGGAAGTTCTTATAGAAGAAATTTGAATTAATTCGAACATTTCTCTGTAATTTTTTGCAATGTTATGCATTTTAACACTAATTATACAATCCGCTGAGCGCTAGCAGTTATCTATAAACAATCACGTGAATGTGGATCTGATTTTAATTTCCGATATTAAAAACGAATCAGAGGTAAACACAAAATTTTTCTCGTACGCTTGCAACATAATCTGCCGACTGTTCCAGAAATCGTGCACTTTTCTTAAACCACAGTTGATAAGTAGCAAATTGGAAAGGATGGTGATTACATTAATATGAAGGAATCGATAACTTTGGTGCTGCCAATAATTACGGAACTTAAAAGTCTTCACAAACGCGTAAACAACTTGATATTTTACGCAAGACTCCGTTAAAAAGATTACAAAGATAGCATTTTCCAAAATTTTTTTCGAAAACATTGGATTGGGTGAAAGTGCGCGATTACTGGGACACACTATTTATATTTAGTTGGGATCTGGTCAGAATTCGTGGCTATTTGACACATAAATGTTCGTCAACTTTCTAATACCCGGACCCTTATTATAGAAATGCTCGGGCAGGTTTTCGATCGGAATCGATTATTCCCCAGATTTCGATTGTAGTTTCTAGAGAATAACTGCTCGATTGGATATCTTTCCGATCAATTCTATATTAGATACCTTGAATGTACACGCACATTCTGCTGAAACGCTTTCGTCAAATGAACGGAAATGTTGACACTTTTATAAATAAGCGTATTTCTTGCAGTTACTTCTCCTTTGATTCGTTAATCCGAAACAGGACCGTTTTTTATCGTGTACCTTCGTATGGATTTAGGGATTTTCAAGATATTACTTTGAAAGATCGTAAAGAGATTTACATGTAGTTAAATCTTCCTAGTACGAGCGAAGCAGCCAGAAGAGTCGTCGTATACAACGTGAAGATGGATGAGCAACCTAGGAAGGACGTAAACATATTTTAAACTGATGATGTATTTTTAATACCACCACACAACACATCGAAGACTGTGCTCGATTATCTCGCTGTTTGCTTTATAAAAAACATTCATAAGTGTCTATATTTGTTACAGTCTATATTTGGTACATTTTCTTACCGCTCATATTGTAAGTATGAATCTCCACGTAACAGTACGATATATCACGTAACAAATCGTCACATCATTTCACTTGTTTCTAATAATATTTAAAAATTATGTCTCTAATATTACGTATCAAATTGCAAATTTATTTATATACGTTATACGCTCTTCGAGACTCAAAAATTTGATCAATGGTTTATCGTACGATAAGCGATGCATAAATAATTATCCGGTTTTTTAATCGTTTACAGGAATAACATGAATTAAAATAACCTGTCTCTTATCAGAAGAGACAAACGATACAGTAAATGTTTGTTTCGAATCTGAATATCAAGTGGTACATATATAGTAATAAAATCCACACGAGTGTTTAATATGAAAATTCATAATAAAATTACTGGAATTGTTTAAATAGATACTTCATAGTTTTCTTTTAAATTAAAGAAAATCTCTCTCCGACTTAATAATAACAGATATTTTATACCAAGTGCTTTGTAAGACTTTTGTAAAGACTTCAGTTACGCACACATTTATTATTATAATTTATATTATTTAAATTGTATATATTAAATTATATTAGGCTCTTGAGATATACAATCAAAGGAAATATAGAAAGACCTATAAGAGCCGCAGAGCGACAGATTATTTTTACGAGAAAAATAGGATCAGAACTCACCGTTACAGAACATTGGGCTTTCTTCGTAGAATCCCTCTTGACAGTAACAGCGTTTTCCCATAGTAGCGTTGCGTTGAATACAATGAGCGTCTTCTACGCATTCTGAATCGTCATTACAGGGCATATGAATTGCTGAAAGAAGGATGCACAATTTTTGAGGCATTTCAACAATTTATATATAGAAAATCATTTTCGATAAATTATACAAAAATACAGTGATTTTTAAAGATTTATTTTTAGCGACATTTTCGGTACTCGGCTATTAATAAAATTCACAACGCATATGAGTAAATATAATTTTTAAATTTGATAAAGCGCGACATGCAAACGCTCAACTTAGTTTAATTTCTCGAGTGACGTATATTCCCACGAGCACGTTCCCGACATGGTTCCTAAGCGGCGATCGATTCGTAACCGCGGTTAATTGTGCTTGAAACGTTCAAGGCAATCATCGGCAACTCCGCTGAAAATCAGAAGGGAAACATGCATAGTGATCATCTAATCAAACGAAATTGCCGAGTTTCCGGAGCCGCTTTGCGACCCTCTAATATTACATATCGAACTACAAATCGCTCGGGACACGTTATACGCTTTCCAAAGTTCAAAGATTCGGTCAACGTTTCAACCACATCGTGCCAGGTACCGTCGCCGTTCGCTCTCATTCTCATCGACAATTTATCACCGTCTAATACGAAAGTCACGGAGATAGAGAGATGTCTTCATGGATTTAACTGCGCGAGCACGTCACGTAATTTTTGAAACGTAACTTGTAAAACGTTGTAATAAGCGCACAGTGTCATTCATTGGGGACAATTTGCAAGAAACATGTCGGCTTTATTTTCATCATTGTCGTTCTACCTTTACGGTTTTTCCTGTCGTGAAGGGAGCAGAAAAACAGGTTGTACCGGTACAGTGAGTCCTGCAGAAGGTAAGTCGGCGCGGATACTCTTTACCTGCTCCAATTTGCATAGATAATCATAGACTGCCAAGGAACACCGTCATATGTTCACGTATTGCGATACAGCACGTAAGTATATGCAAATCTCGGTACCGACTTCGAGTTAAAATCATCTCATTGGAAGCTCGACTAATCCGAGGGATTAAAGCGATAGGTGTAACGGGTGTATGTGTGCCAAGCGTTCATCAACAATGTATTATGCCCAAACGTGAAAAATTAATTAAAAGACGATAACACACGCGAGCACGTCGGAGCTTTATTGGAAATTGCTTCAAAGACAGATTCCCGCGGACGCGGATTAATTTTCTCGTTCCTCTGAATTCGTCGAAGATTACGTCGCTAAGATAATCTTCGATTGTTCCAGGACGCTCCATGCGCGCGTAACAAAGCAGATGTCGCCGGAGATCTTTCTCACGATTAATCTTCCACCGTCGTGCTCGCGTCTATTGCAACGAGCAGCTAAAATAGTCAGCCAGAAAATAACACTGCAAAAAGATTCCGCTACCTTTGTGTTTATTAGTACAGGCACCATTAACTGGCGTCGAGTAATCGCTGCAAAGACATCGACTTTTTCCATGATGATCCGATATACACGTGGTGTTTTGAATTCCAACACAGTCGCTATGCACTTTGCATTCACGAGATTTACCAACTGCAATTGAAAATATTGTTCTTTATTGAGACACCGCCGTTTCATTCGACCCTCGTCTTATTCGCCTCGCTTTTGTCTCGTCTCAAGCCATTAACACTTAGATTTGCAAATTGATAGCAAAATTGATGACCATTATAGTTTCATTTAAGCCTGAAAATCAGGCGCTCTTGTACTTTTCTATTAACACGCAAGATTATAGTGAAAACTTCATAGAAGTGCAATGTTCCACAAAGTGAAACTTACATGCTCACTTGTGCAACAGAGCGTGAACAACTTCGAGTGGTAATCGTGAAATAGTCGTGCGGACTAGAACTCTGACATTCAACAGAGCATTAGTATTCATCTTGAATTCATCTAACATTTCAATTTAACCTTGACGCTCCTACGTCAGATTTTTACTTCCACATAGTTTCGAATAGAAACGCTGAGACTGATTATTTAACGCTAATTTATATATTTTTATAAACACCGGGGTGATATTTCGTAGCGCATAACGTTGCAGGATATCTTCTTATGTGTCAAATATGCACTGATGAAATACAATATTATCCATTTAAAATACAGTAATAATATCGCATTCAATTTTCCGTAGAGTATTTAAAATAAGATCCTTTCATCATTGAAAGAAATCCATATCGGAGAAATATATTTCAAATTTTCATCGCATAATCAGAAAATAGCTTATAGTAACTATGAATTTTCGTTACTTGTTCATCACATACCTGGTGTAGGAGGCGGTGGCGGGTTTTGGTTTTGATTCTGCGGGTTGGTTTTCCCGAAAGTCGTGAGTGCACCGGACATCGGCGGTGAGAATACCGACGTGGCCAGTAAAACGGACGTAATTATGCGGATACTCATTCCGCCTCTCATGGTCTCTCAATGGATGATGAATAATATTTTAATCGATTATCACTTGTACGATCACAAATCACAAATCCGAGACTTAAACTGGGATTAAGGGGAAAGTGAAGAAAAGGATGTCTCGTGAAGGAAGAGAATCCGCTTCTTGTCCTCCGTGGATCTCCGCTTCGCTGCGAACTTCTTCCTCCGACGACGAGTCTTCTCTACGACGATTTAAACTCGGTTAATCAATCTCGGTTTACACACCGAGATCCGTCGGAAGTTCACCGCGATAAAAGTTTCGTCAGGCCAATGATGCGCTGCCGGAGTCAGAGTCGCAAAGTATTCCTCGCACTTTCGTTTCACTTATACGGAATACTGAGTATGTTTGATTCTAAGACTGCGTGTTACAAGGACGTCGGAAGGCCTTTTAAGCCTTCCAAGCACCCCCACTCCAAGTAACCCCCTACGTGCTGCCACCACTAAAGCAGAAAATGCTCTACCGTAAGGTGGTTACCTTACCGCTTTCCTTGAGAATCTGAGCAAAGCTGGCTGGCTGGCTGGCTGGTTGAGCTGAACTTCGATCGCCGCGAAAGACGCTGTGGTTAGACGCTGCTACGTTCTACTAACTACCCTCGGCTGCGTCGCCGCGCGAACATCGCCGGCCAGATTTATTAACCCGACGCGTACAGCTTGATTCTCTTTCGGGCTACCGTCCGGAAACCGACCCTTCGAAGCATTCTATTTTGCATCGTTATCGTTCGGTATCTATTCCCCTTATAGACAATCATATATCAGCGACGGGCTTTAAGTAACTTCACGTTACATTGCACATGAAATCAATTAATTCGGAAAATTCTAGCGAGCCTAGCATCGGCATTTGCGTTTTGCTGGAGAAGAGAAAGGACCGTTCTTTGAAAACACCCTTATCGAATACTCGAGTCTCGCTATCGTGAAATTATCGAGGTAAAAGTTTCGCCTCATGCTGACGCTCAATATAAATTACACGAGAGCACCGCAATTATTTTAATCGGCCTACATGCGTTGAATCAAACACCCGCTTGTTTCCTTGCCTTTCTCGTTCAACCAGGCAAATAAAATACATTTTTTTCATATAAATCCGCACTTTTTTGCAAACACGCGCGTGCGAAATTTCAAATAAATTCCAAAATTCCCGCTTAATATTCGTCGTCTTCTTCTGAGGACACATTGATTTTTCTAAAATCGATCTTTTCAGTTCGCTCATTACATTACTTTTCCTTTCTCTTGCGACGGATACCAACATCGAAGGGAAAGTTACCGTTAGAACAAAGCGTCTTACGTATCCCCTCGTTACTCCTTGATTTTTTACAAAGTCGGTTAGCGAATTGATGTAGATGTAATAAAAGTTCTCGCAAAAAGCTAAAGCCTATATTTCGAAATGCAAAAATTATAATCATATCACGTCCTTCTAGTACTTCTTTTAAACGCTTCACTATTTGTAATTAATTATTCCGCCCCTTATCTTAACTACTTCAAGAAAAATGAGCTCTACATACTAACTAGCCAAAACCGCGACGTAAGTTAGTATTCTTAATTAAATATAATAATATATTTTCCCCCGGTGATACTTAGATGTATGAATAATACAGAACGCAAGATAAAGAAATGAGCGTCATTCCTCCCGCGAAATGACACTTATCCCTCGAGGTACCTCGCGTGTTACTTACGAGAGAAGTTATCTCGGTGTCTAGCATAGACCCAACGTTATCTTTTCAGGTGTGCTCGGCATCGCGACGGTTACGTCGGTCTCTTCGTCGGCGAATACCGTCGAGCTCGAAATGTTAACTTTGCTGGTTACAAAGGAGACTCATCCGGCCGCGCGTGCACGAAAGCCGCCGAAAATTTATCGTCGTGTTGCCAGTATTTTATGGGCAGACAGTCGTAGAAATGTGTCCGCCCGCACGCCAAGTGCATAGCGCTCACCTTGCAACGTTGCTGTTTACAACGGCAAGAAGGAGCGTGTCGGATTGTCGTGTCGATTTTACGACGATCGCGTCGCCTTTTGTTTCGTCGGGGAAAGGTTCTCATCGATCGTCGATCACGAAGGCTCGCGTGTGATTCATAAATTTAACAAGACGCGTGCAGGACGTGCCGTGATTTACAAGGCAATTTGCTCGTCCGGTGATCGAAACACTGATCGAACTGTCGTGGTAATCTTGCATGTTTCACGAAACCAGTAAGGTGTAAGGTCAGCGTGCGATTAAGCCGACGATTGGCCAGGGAGGCTGACATTAATAAAAAAGCGAGATGCTATATCATATCAAGAACGAACCCTGGATCACAGATCATGTTTTATTAAATGTTCCATTTACGAAACTTTATATATGAAGTCGCGGATCTTTCGTCGTAAACCTCCCGAACTTCGGACCTTTCTTCGATCGGACATCGGAATCGTCGAATGAATCTTTTCGCTCACGCTCTTTTCTAAAATTACAATTTTTCTCGCAAGAACGAATTGTCCCGTTCATTTTTAACGATCGATATCATATGGTGTAGCGAACAGTATGCAAAGTGCACGAATTAAATGCATGATTTAAGCGCAACGACACGTGGACAAATCGAAATGCTAATTAACGACGCGAGCAATGATTTCAATACTTTATATAGTTGTCAAAGAGACAGGAAGATGGCATTGGTAACGCAGAAGTAAAGTATTAATCCAAATTAATTATTTTCATTGTTAAGTGATACACAAATTATACTAGTAAATTACGAGGACCTCAACGTAGTTACAAATTATTCTCAAGATATACGAACTCGACCCACTTTGCTCATTCTGCCGAATGACCAATCGCCATTCGAATAACGCGTGGAAATTGTTATCGGATTAACGCAGCGCTACATATAAATCGTAACAAATTAGCATGAATAAGTTCAAGGTCTATGCGCAGGCATATGAGCAACGCACTAATTATGCCATAGCATGCCTTTGTCGAATACCCGCGGGTTTTACGAACAAATTTCGTGAGCATGTCACATACCGAGCACAATTAATGTAACTACAATAAAAAGAATACTAATGTTTCATGTACAATTATTATTATCGTATCTTATTATTATAGTATCTTCTTAATTCGAAGAACTTTTAGGGAGAAAACATTTGTACTATTCATCTCTTTTGAAGACAATTTATTTTTCATGAAAATAGGAGAAAATGTCGTTACAAAGTTTCTATTGGAACATATTGACTGACAGCGTACATTGTGAAAACAATTTTCTTCCATCTGTAAGATAATATTTTTATCTTGCCCGCAAATACTTTCTCATCCGCTGCATCTATACTGAAAGAACTTCGTTCTACATTTTTAATATATATATTATTTTAATATATATTTTCAACGTGTTGATTAAAATGTTTTAGTATATAATAATTTCAACATATCCTGTTTATAAAATAGGATAAAAATTATCGCATTAAGTCATCTTTAGATACGTTATCATATGCGAAGAGAAACTAAAATAAAATGTTATCGCTGCAGTTTATTCTATTTTACGTAATTTGTAATTGCGTCTGTTACTTGTTTATCTGCGTTAATAAATAATTCCTCGTCCGATCAGCTGTTATTATCTTTCTAAGGCCGTGCAAAAATAAGTCAGAATATTTTGTTAGATTAGGAATGTTACATTATCGTAAGAATTACTATCAAGTTGTGCCAATGTATATATTACACTATTTTCGACATAATTAAGGTCATGATGCTTAAAGCACATGAAAAAGTAATCGCAATCTCCTATTTTTCCCTTACACAAATATTGTTTCTTAATTTCGTAAGATTATGAACATTCAACGTGACGGCATGTGACTATTTTTTAATTAACTTTACTATATTCCTCACATCCAATTCTACCAAAAAATATCTTGGATAATCGTATGAAACAAACAAATCATCTGGATTCAATAATATTTTATTCTTCGGTATTAAAGTTCTATTCTTTTGTTTTCTTCGGATATTAACAGAATATAACAGAACTATATAAACTGTATAAACTAATTAACAGATATAACAGAAATTCCAGCTTTGTTGATTCGCATTTGTCAATCATTTTCATAGCTGCTTCCTCTGACGAACGTTGATTTTCTGTATTTTTCGTCATAATAAACACTGATTGGTGAGATGAGAGGTGCTAATCATCGTTCTTGGGCTCAGTCTCATTCGATGATGCTATTGATGTATTGATACCATCGAAGTTACTTGAATTATTATATTCTGCATCAGCATCGTCCCTTGAAATATCGTCTTCTTCGCTTTCTTTTTCTGAGAAGCGAAAAAATGTTTAGTTGCGTGTTCCCAAAACTGATCATAAAATTTGCATGACGCAGGAGTTGAATTGGAGGATGAGTACTTTATCGGAGATTCTGATTCCAAACTTACCTTTGATTCGTCATATTCTTCATTAGAGTTTACTTCTTTATAGTCTTTGGGGTAGATCGATAAAAGCGAAAGGCCAACCATCATTTTCTTGTTTGTTATCTTTGATAGATTCATATGAATTCTCTTCTGATTCTTGAAAGCTACTTATTGGATATTCATCGTGTTCATAGTCTATAGAATCTTCCATATTCGAAGTTGCAGTAAAATCAAGATCTGACATATCTTTGGAATCTTCTACACTCAGATTATCTAGCAGTTGCTTACGTTCAGCTTTTCCATTGACATGTTCTTGCTTGAACATGGAAGTATTTATCAGCATTTTATGAAGATTGGAATTATTATCGGCATTGTTTGTCTGTTCGTCATACTCTTCATTAGAGCTTACTTCTTTATGGTTATCGAAAAAACCCCAACCATCATTTTCTAGTTTGTTATCTTCGATAGATTCATATGAATTCTCTTCTGATTCTTGGAAGCTACTTATTGGATATTCATCGTGTTCATAGTCTATAGAATCTTCCATATTCGAAGTTGCAGTAAAATCAAGATCTGATATATCTTTGGAATCTTCTACACTCAGATTATCTAGCAGTTGTTTACGTTCAGCTTTTCCAATGACATGTTCTTGCCTGAACATGGGAGTATTTATCAGTATTTTATGAAGATTGGAATTACTATCGGCATTATTTGTCTGTTCGTCATACTCTTTATTAGAGCTTACTTCTTTATGGTTATCGAGAAAACCCCAACCATCATTTTCTTGTTTGTTATCTTCGATAGATTCATATGAATTCTCTTCTGATTCTTGAAAGCTACTTATTGGATATTCATCGTGTTCATAGTCTATAGAATCTTCCATATTCGAAGTTGCAGTAAAATCAAGATCTGATATATCTTTGGAATCTTCTACACTCAGATTATCTAGCAGTTGTTTACGTTCAGCTTTTTTAATGACATGTTCTTGCCTGAACATGGGAGTATTTATCAGTATTTTATGAAGATTGGAATTATTATCGGCATTGTTTGTCTGTTCGTCATACTCTTTATTAGAGCTTACTTCTTTATGGTTATCGAAAAAACCCCAACCATCATTTTCTAGTTTGTTATCTTCGATAGATTCATATGAATTCTCTTCTGATTCTTGGAAGCTACTTATTGGATATTCATCGTGTTCATAGTCTATAGAATCTTCCATATTCGAAGTTGCAGTAAAATCAAGATCTGATATATCTTTAGAATATTCTACACTCAGATTATCTAGCAGTTGTTTACGTTCAGCTTTTCCAATGACATGTTCTTGCCTGAACATGGGAGTATTTATCAGTATTTTATGAAGATTGGAATTACTATCGGCATTGTTTGTCTGTTCGTCATACTCTTCATTAGAGCTTTCTTCTTTATGGTTATCGAGAAAACCCCAACCATCATTTTCTTGTTTGTTATTTTCGATAGATTCATATGAATTCTCTTCTGATTCTTGAAAGCTACTTATTGGATATTCATCGTGTTCATAGTCTATAGAATCTTCCATATTCGAAGTTGCAGTAAAATCAAGATCTGATATATCTTTGGAATCTTCTACACTCAGATTATCTAGCAGTTGTTTACGTTCAGCTTTTCCAATGACATGTTCTTGCCTGAACATGGGAGTATTTATCAGTATTTTATGAAGATTGGAATTATTATCGGCATTGTTTGTCTGTTCGTCATACTCTTCATTAGAGCTTACTTCTTCATGATCATCGAAAAGAAAACCAAAACCCCAACCATCATTTTCTTGTTTGCTATCTTCGATAGATTCATATAAATTCTCTTCTGATGGTTTATAATCTATAAAATCTTCCGAACTCGAAATCCTCTTAATAAAATCGATATCCCATATACGTTTTGCATTTTCTACACTTAGATTATTTAGCAGTTGCTTACGTTCAGCTTTTCCAATGACATGCTTTTGCCTGTTCATGGAAGTATTTATCAACATTTTATGAAGATTGGACTTATTATCTGCATCGCTTGCTTGTTCGTCATGCTCTTCACTAGAGCTTTTCTTATTGTAATCATTGAGGCCAAAATCCCTACTATCAAATTTATGTTTTTTATATTCGATAAAATCAAATGGAATCTCTTCTGATTTCCAAGAGTTGATTTTTGCACTTGAATCGTTTTCATGATCTACAGAATCTTTCGTGCTTGAAGTCGCAATAAAGTCGAGATCCGCTGTACTTTTGGAATTTTTTAATAGATTTAGATTATCTAACAGTTTCTTATATTCAGCTTTTCCAATATTTTCCTGTCCATGCCTCATCATGGAAATATTTCTCAACTTTTCAAAAAATTTGGAATTGAAACTACCGGCATTATTTGTTTGCGTTATGTCGTCCATGCTTTCTTCATGTGGTTTGGACTGTAACGCAGCCATTGGCACAAGTATCTCGGTGGTATATTTATTATTCAATTGCTTAGAATTATATTTTATATAATATCCTAAGTAAATAGTCAACATAACAATCATCACAAGCCCCATGGAAATGATCAGTGATTTACTGGAGAATTTCTTATCCCTCTTTAAATTCTTCTCTATGTTTAGGAGTTTATCTGTACAAGTAAAGAAAGTACCTTTTATTTATTACAATGACTTTACTTCTTAATAGATGCGAATTAAAATATAACTATCTAACGATACAAGAGTGAGCATATCAAGTTGAAACAAAAACGAGAACGTATATATTCTAGAACGTATATATTATATAGTATATATTATACGTACGTATATATTATATAGTATATATTATACGTACGTATATATTATATTGTATATATTATATAAATTATAGAAACAAAGAAAAATTAAAGAAGATAGTTATCTATACTTAACTATAAGAAGAAGAGATAATTAAAGAAAGTAAAATGCTTTGCATTCGTCGACGTCGATGCCAAAGTTCCGACAATTTTTTTATAATAAATATTTTTTATAATAAATATGTAAACAGTTATCGTTATTTTACACTCGACGATACAAACTTACAGAATAAAAACGCGAAAAATGCAACATGGTACTCACCCTCCTCATCTATCTTCTCCTTTTCCATAGTGAGTGATTGGTAAATATTAGACATCTCGTTGGGATGAAATCTTTGAAAATTCTGTGTAATGGTAGTGGTTAACCTCGACTATGGTAAAAGTTAATTCATGTGTAAGAAAGGAAAGTGACGACTAGAAATGCTTCGTCTTTTGTGTATCTCTTATATATAACAAGCGCCTCTCTTGGTAAGAGGAAGACTTCGGTAAGAGGAAAACTGATGATAGATTTAGTTTCAATCAAAGATCATTAACTATCTCTTATATGCCGATAATGACGTATGTTTTCGAAATACTAAATGAATTCTTAATGTTATTAGTAATAACATTATTAATAACTAAAATTATCATTGGTTAATACCTCGAACGATATATAATGACCAGAACTGCGTTTTCTCCTATCAAGAGAAACGTATGCTGTATATATAAAAGATACATAAGAGACGGAGCAATTCCAATCATGACTTTCCTTTCTTACACATGATAATAATTTTTTACATACAAATTTAATGTTATGTCAATTTTGATTTAACGTTATTTCAGAAACTTAGAAAATTGGATGGCCAATAGATTAGATCTCCATTATTTTCAAAGCTAACAACTAAAAGCAGTCAATTTGATGCAAATTATCGCGTATTATCTTTCTTATCTCTCTTCCTGTTTACATCAATCGTGAGATTCTTTGTAATAATTCAATTCAGCCACACTTTCGAGGGATTTAAACGGGCGATTCTAATTGCGTAGTATTTAATTAAAACAATTCTGCTTATATATTCACTTCCTTAATTAACGCAATCCGATTAAAGAGTATGTCACATTAAAAGAATGATTCGGAAATATATTGAAAGAATCAATTATATTCTTTCATTCTACCTTATGAATATTTTATTTTTGTTTCGTGTTATTTCTCTATTTTACGTATAAGAATAACGATACAGGTTGAAATACTTATATCACCCCCGGAGATTATACTTATCTGATAACAACGCAGGTGTTCAAATCTGTTCTATATTTTGCGACAGTGCTGGTCGCATAATTTAAAGAACCAGATGCGAAGTTGAACGACAGAAAAAATGCGAATTTTCTTAAAAATAATTTAATACGTTTTTTCTTTTATGAAATAATTAGTGTATCTTATTAAAATACATAGTATAGTAAAAATTTCATCGTGCAAAGAGACAGAAACACTTCTTGCGTAATGATATCGGAAATATTTTCAAGAATAAAATTTCCAAGAATACATCAATAAAATGCAAGAAGCGAAATAGAAATAGATTTTTCAAAAATAATACCTGATAAATATAATACTTCTACTTCTGTTTCTTGGCAGTATGATAATTTTTGCGTGATCGATATCGGGCTCTTTATACTTCACCTAGTAACGGCACTGCTTTTAGAGATTTGATAAAAAAGAGTTAAGCTTTGTCGAAGACAATCAGTAATACTTGTAAGTCACGAAGATGCAGCAAACTCGACAAGTCGTGTACGTTCTACTGTACCTGCAGTTCTTCGTCTGTAATGGTAGGAACATATTTTAGAAATAATAAAAGAAAATTACACAATATATCAAACAACAGGTTATCTTCTTATGTACATGTTCACGCAAAAATTTGTCAAACCATTAATATTATATTACATATAATGATCATATTAAGGGATCTGTAATATTACGTACCATATTAAGAACAGATTAATATAAATCACCACCCATCGTGAGAGATAAAAAATTCACGTTGAAACTGATAATCGAATATATTTCAGTTTTCACACTCGACATTGGCATTCTATCGGAGGAACACACAAGCGGTACAAATGATATCGCATGGATCAGTAGCAAGTGGACATGCAAGTCCGATAATGAATGTACAGCGACGGGGAGTACATGCAACAATCATGAATGTCAATGTGCACCTGGATACATCTATAATTCCGACATGACATCCTGCGTCAAAGGTGATATTTTTTTCGAATTTACTTTATTGTCCCGCGCTTGATTTACAGTTGATTTGACACGAACAAAGAGATTTCTATTACATATTTTACAGTTGCCACCGGACTGCATGATAAATGTGTGGACACAGTGCAGTGCTCAGCTTATCTCCTCAGTGGTGCTATGTGCGTTGATAATGTTTGCGTATGCGGCCCTGGTTCTTACTATCTGCATGGTAGATGCAACCGATACGTGGGTACGTAATATTCTTCATATTTTATACTAGAATTTCTCCATACATACATTGCTGAATGAAAAGAATTTGACATCGCGTATCACAAGGCTTGGCCGAGAAATGTGAGCAAATCATCGACTGCTACGTGAACGCTGATTTCGAAGCGAGCACTTGCAACATGACTGAGAAAATTTGCGAGTGTAGCCCTGGCTATTATCAGCGCGAGTATCGCACTTGTCGACGGGAGAGAAAAAGTACGTGATTTTTTTGTGACGATAATGCGTGTACGTCTCATGATACATTGATTTAGAGATGTATCGTGAAAATGTAATATGTTATTGCGACAAATGTTAATGCTTACTTAACGACTATCTAATGACAGCCGTTGGTGAGGAATGCATGATCGATTTCGATTGTACTTTCGAGAATGCGACCTGTAAGGATTTCGTCTGCGTCAAAAAGTCCGAATCCAAGAAAACTATTCAACTTTCGATCGATACCGATGTCGTATTGACAGTTGCTGCAAACGAAGACACGGGTAAGCGTTAGGATAAGAATTATAATGTGCGCGTGGTATATCTTTAATTGTCATTATTATCTGATGATCTTATGTATTTAATCTTCAATGAGACTCTACGCGTACATGTATATGATCCTGCTAGAAATTCGGGTGGGCAGCGATTGTACTGGCAAAGAGGACATCTGCGACAAGCTGGGAAACGCTATATGCGATCTTACCGGGAAATGTCGTTGTAACCGCGGGCATTTCGCACCTCACGAGGACGCTAAGTGTATACCAGGTAAATTAGCAACTCAAACGTATACAATAAAAAATCTTTCATCCAAATGCCAAAGTTTTCTTGTGTTACCTATTTTTGTCTAATGTCGCAATATCAAATTAACAGCTCATATATTATTATTTTCGTGATGTTTTCATATGTTAAATTTATGTCAATTTATTAATTTGATAATTTTGTGTGCGTCATTTAAAAATGAAACATTATTTTGGGTTATTTGAACATAATTATTCTAGAAAATAAATATTTTTTAAAGTTATTTTAATATTAAAGCGAGTATTCACATAATCATAAATTTTGACATGTGAAATAGTCAAATTGACCAAAATCAAATGTTTCAATTATGAATAATTTAAAGTAATTAATTTCATGTGTTAATATATCATGAGAAATGTGTTTTCTAGAATTATATTAAATTGTAACATTCATTTTATTCACATCATGCGGACGAATATGTTCCAGCAACATTTTTTACAAGTCAGTCTACGACTTCAAATTTATCTGCGACATCGCGTATTTTACTATGCTTTATGTTATTCTAACATCGTGCTCAAGTTGAAATAACAACTATAAATGTAGAACAAAATGTTATATCAAATAATTAACATTTTCAATTATATTGAGAAGTAACACACGACGAATACGTTATTTTAACACAAAATTTAGAGTGGACTCTCTGAAACATACGAGAAATGTTAAATTTAACATTTTATTTTTTACTGCGTGTCTAAGGTCAATGATATGCAACCGATTATTTATGTTGACAGAGCTCGGAGAACCCTGTAGCCCCGACGACGTAGGTAGCATAAAGAATTCCACCTGCCAAGCAGGTATATGGATTTGCAAATATGGCACAGTCGCATCTCGCGATAATCGCGAGTGCCGTAATGGTAAGTGAGCATATTTCCAGCGGAGATGGAAACCTATGTGATATTCCGTCGATAAATTCGTCTCTCAATATAAATAAAAAATACCAAGGCACAAAAAGACTTTTCTCACGTCGCAATACCGAGTTTCGAATGCGTTGTAATTCTGCTGCGCGATTTTTACAATCTGTATAATAAAAGCGTGACCGGGCAAACTTGTATTTGAAAACCATTACATCGAAAACTTTTGAGCAGGTAGGAGGACTCTTCTTCTATGACGCAACATACAGAGGATCAAACAAAACATCTCATTTAAAAATTATCCGAAATTATATGATATTATGGTCCATATTCTGAACTCACTTTTCGATCAAATGACTTAAATAATATTGACTTATGCATTAAGCCTGTATCAGACTAGGGATTGGAAATTAGATTTCAACGAATCAACAAATTTCGGTTTTGTTTCCTTTGGTCTGTTCTTTTCAGTTTCATCTCATCTAAAATGAATTTGTCGGATTTTCATCTCATCTTCATCTAAATAAATCTGAAATCATCTAAGACAAATACCGTCAGTTACGCTCTTTTTAGGCATACTGCACTTTTCCATCTAACGAGTCTGTATCTTGTTTAGTAACCATGAAACACGGTGGCAAGTGTTTCCAGGACGAGGAGTGTTACATCTTTGGTCCGGACGCCGAGTGCAAGGGAAATAAGTGCGTGTGTAACGCGAATTCCCACTATGTGAAGAGCGAGCTTTTTTGCTGGATAAATAAAAAGGTTGGCGAAACTTGTAAGCAGAAGCGCGACTGCTACATCAAAGGTTTTAAGAGCGAGATCCTGTGCAAGAACGGTGTATGCAGTTGTCCCGATGGCACACGCATAAATAATAACGAGACAGCCTGCATACGCACAGCGGCAGGTTAACAATTATCTCGTTAGTCACTCGACGATATCCGTCGCTCGACGAGAATTAAACGACATATTTTGTGTCAAATTTTAGGACTCGGGGAGGCTTGCGAGGTGACCGAGGACTGTAAGTTGAAAAACACAACTTGCAATAAGGTGTGTGAATGTAAAGAAAATCATTATTTTTCGCAAGATGAAGGCCAATGTATACCAGGTAATATCTCGTCAATTGTCGTAAAAACATTAAGTACTTGACAAAAGCGAATTATAGAGGATGCAAAAGATGACGCGCAAGGAATGCGTGTGTATGGAATTAAATAATTAAGTGCACGAAATTAAATAATTAAGAGATAATAATTAAACAATTAAATATATAAATTAAATAATTAAATAAGAAATATATTAATTAAATAATTAAGATAAAATGAATACAACGTGTTTAGGTGAGACGATTGCTGTATTTCAGGTATCAACGCTACCTGCGAGAAGAACGAGCATTGCAGGCCGGAAAACTCCGAGTGCAATTGGCAAGTATGTGTTTGTAAATCAAACTACGTGGCCGCAGCTGTCAACTCGTGTGTGCCAAGTAAGAATTTCTGTTTTTTAGTGCAGCATAGGAAAAAAATTTCACGCTTATCACATTGTTTTCTAAAAATAGAATAATTTCAAGGATATAACTTAAAGGTATATTTAGTATAGAAGATTTTCTTTCTGTCGTGTTTCTCTTTAGTATTGTCATACGGTGAGTTTTGTTCGCAAGACGTTCAATGTTCTGCGACAGTACCGGGTGCGATTTGTTTCGAGCAGGATGAAAATAAAATTTGCGCTTGCGCGAAGGAAGATCACTACAGATTCGGGAGATGTTTTAAGAAGAAACGTAAGATACGATGATCCGTCGTTATATCGATTACTTCGCAAAGACGATCTACGTTAACAATCGTTCGTGTTCGTTCTCTCACAGTGCTCAGCGATACCTGTGCAAACATCGGCGAGTGTTACTTAAACCACGATGTGCGGACGGTGATGTGCATGAACGGGGAATGCAGATGCAATTGGGGCTACAAAAAATTGAACAACAGTGCCTGCGTGAAGGATACGCAAGCGGTGTATTTGCCGAACGGTGAGTTAGCCTTGACTCGTGTCAGTCGATCGACAAATTTCGCCGCAATTTATTTCCGCCTACGGAACAGCAAGAACACGCTACAGCCAGCTACTACCTTTCTTCCGAGCTCACACGCTCGCGCGCGCGCGCGCATAAAACCCTTTATGTGGCGGAATAATGGGCTCGCAATTATGAGTCGCGAACTCGCATGCCCGTTCGAAAGTTGTGTTGCAATTTTTGCGATTACAAGCACCGATAAGGCAAACTTACAATGACGCGACCCATCTGGAACCGACCTCTCGCGCGTGTTCATGGAAAGCAGCGTCCTGCCGAATACTAATACTTGTCGGCTGTACAATCTCGGAGCATGGAAAAAACTCATTACCACGAATTCTAATGGTAGTTCCGTGTAAAGGCTAACAACGCATAGAAAATTCCAACCAGTCAGTTATCATCCGGCCAGAAAACGAACATATCACGGTAAAAATTTTTCTCTAAATAACGGCCTACGGAAATTGCTTTTGTTACTTTAATCAGGTGAATATGTTTATTTAACATATATTTGTATATTTTTTAACACATTCCCATATTAAAGTAACACAAAAATATTAGTGCACTTTTATTTACACAAAATTTTTTACCGTGTACTTATTGACGCAACCAAGCTTTTATTTATCCATAAATATCTAGTTTTTATTTATTCATGAATATCTATTTGCACCGGGATACTAAAGATATAACTATCAAAATCAAAATAAAAAATAATGAGATGCGTCATTTTCTTTTCCAGGTAGTGGATCGATAATCGATATGATGTCCACAGGATTACCTTTAGTCGTACTACTGCTCGCCTCTTGTGACATTTTCTAAATTTTGAAGACATACTCGTCGAACAGGAAAGATATTCTAAAAAAAAAATATATATATATATTTATAAGCCTCTATAATGTCGATTCTAATATGATAGTTGTTATCACTAGTAAATAAAATTATTTAATTTTTTAATAACGGCGGAAATCTTTAATATAAACAATATATATTAAAGAAATGTAACGATACAACACGATATACCTTAGTATGAATTAGGTGAGCCCGGCGAATTTAAGGAAATCGAAATTTACATGGACAGGATGATAAAAATGAGAATCAAAGGACGTCGGAAGAAATGAAAGGAGCATTAGGACGATGCGAGGGATATTATTCTCGCGCGATACGAGATCGATCGGGACGCTTCGACCGTATTTTCTAGTCCATTAATTGGGGTCGCGTAATTCGCGAGCCGAGTCCATTACCGATTCGCGGTTATAGCATGCTTAGCGCTTACTCGCGCGCTTACGATTACGGGCAGACGAAAAATGGGGCTGTATAGCGGGCAGCGTGTGATTTGAATACCGCCATTTCCGACCGGGGAGATTGATTAAAGAAAAACTGCGTACTTAGGGTTCCACCGGGCGTGATAAGGGGGCCGAATAGCCGGCACGCGAGCTGCGCGTCGGCCGTGCTCATTACCGGCCGTTTCTACTGAGAGCGAACAATGCTCTTAGGGCGAGCTTTCGGTGACGTCGCTCTCGGATCCAAGGTACGGTGACGTCATATAGCAAAGGAAGAAGAGAGGGGTCAAGGCGTGCTACTTACTACTCCGGTATACATCCTTCGTGCGATCGACCAGGCGAATGTGAGATTTCTTATCGGACTATCTCGGACATCGCACCATGAAGGGAAAATAAACAGTTTATTGTCGGAGTATCGCAAACGGGACGAATTCACGATATTTCATCGGTTCCCCTTTGCCGGTGGATTTAATGAGATTCAACGGTACGAGAATATTCGACGCTAATTAAAGATTAAAGCGGAAGCACCGCGATAATTCCACGAGGATTTTCAGTTTTAATTTATCGCGTCTCGGAATTACTCCTTTCGCCTTTGCTCCGGAGATAAATCGTGCGGGACTTGTAAAAAAGCCCTTTTTCCCCTTAAAATCCGATATACGTTTTACGCTCGTGTACGTTACTCGGCTGTTGTTTCTTTCCCATACTCGCCATGTATTCGGTCAAGTGCTCGAAATTGGACATCGGACCGCCGATCTAATTGTCCCGTATTTTCCGTTCCGCGTCAAGAACGCCGCCAGGAGCGCGTTCCGCGTGTAATTTGTCCAATCTGAGCGTCAATCTCAATTTACGATCCCATCTACATGTCACCGAGCACTATATCATCGAGCGGTCAGCATACACTTCGTCCCTCGAAGCTTTTGAGTCGCGCGCAGCCTGGGCTAATTTCTGCTGGCCTATTTAATGTCGCTGCATGTTGTTATCCGACATTACGGCCGTCTCGCCCCGGTGCCAGAAATGGGGCACCTCATTATATCGGCATTATTAGAAATTAACGTTCTTTTATCAGGGATCTCAGCAGATCGACGATTACCAGCGAAGGTGAAGTTCTCGCGCCACGGGTGGCTCGCCGGCTAACGCGTGGGATTCGTTTCGCCCGATGAAAATCACCTGGAAGTTAACACCTAACACCCCTAATTCGTCCGCATATGACGAAAGCTATGAGGCTAGAATGAAAATGTCACGGACAAAATTAGATCACGGATTTCAGACGCGCGCCCGCCTACGGCCGTCCGGCTGTTCTGTGAGCGACGGCGTAAGGGCGTACATTCGCACGACCTGAGAACAGGGAAGTCCAATTAGTTGTGTAATCGCCGCCGAGAATTGTATCAATCGATCATGGTAATACGCCGCATGCCGTGTGTAGAATCCACCTGAAACCACTTTGAATCCCAGCAACCTCTTTGAATCCCGTGCAACCTCTTTGAATCCCAGACAGCACATGATTTCATTCGTATATACTATTCTCACACTGAATGATATATGTGATATGCCGAGAACATCCCTACGTTTCTCGTATGCATCATATCTCGTACATTTTCACGACATACTCAGAATATAAAAATTTAATATGATATATATTATATCAATACCAACAAATATGCCATTATAACATTTTTTTATTAATATAAAAATGTATTAATGGCACGCAAGTACACGTATGAGTGCAGCGCCGCAAAATATGATAGACCAACTTCTTTTACTATTTAAACAAAATGATCTAACATTAAATTATATGGGGGCACGCGTGCATGGCTGTATACATGTGTATACACGTGTTATATGATGTTCTAGATATCTGGTAAAACACTGATAAAAAACTGAGGTCATCTTATAGATGTTCTTATGATATACTATAGAATATTCTCAGTATGTACTGAGTGGGCTTCGGATGCAGACATAGGAACATCCTCCGAATATTCTCCGAATATCGTAATACGTATTTCCAATATTAGTAGGATTTGATTTATTTAATAGGATCTACATTTGCGATATGCTGCGTACATATTGAGGATCTACGTGTGCTGTACGGGATTACACCGATTGTATAGCCGACGATTTTACGAATGATATATTATCCGCTTATTTATCCCCGATTGATACACAGAATGAATATCTTAAATCCATCTCAGAGTCTCGATTTATAAGAGCGTTATCGATATTAAAATGTCAACAAGATTCGAGAGATATTTACGTCCTGATATTATTAACACTGGTCGATGTATTTATCACGCACCGAGCGTAACATACTTAACATTATTTCACGTTAAAATTAATCCAAGCACTTTACAACGGTCAAATGAAATCCAGGAGCAGCCAGCCACCTGTAGCGCTGCGAGCGCGTTTTGCAAGCGAGCGTGTGTCCAGCGTACCTAAACGTGAACGCTTAAAAACATCCGCATTCCTATTGGGATTAATCATCGGCACTCGCGGGATACTATATCGCACGTTATCTTTCCGCAAACGGCTATCTCGATATTGGATACGCCGAGTGCTTCTTTATCAACCGGTCGAAACGGTCGTTCGTTTATCCGTTATTTGCGAGCGGACGGGGTAACAAAGAGATGCGAAAGGTCACACGCCAACCAGATGGACAGCCGATAGAGGCCCGACCTGGCTTCTTTCTTCGTGAAATGGGTCAGAGCTCGCTCACGCGGATAGGAAGTGACGCTACCACGAAGAACGCGAGCACGAAATTCGAGACTACACGTGTTAAGCCATCGTCGTGCTCGAAGTTCTCGCTTCTTCGCGTCCTCGCACCAGCTGCTATTCGGCAAATTTTTTCGCGCTCGGACGACTTAACGTTGAAAAAAGTTGCGGAAGTGTAATTTGCGTAAAATAATTCTCCGCGAATAATTATACTTCCCAGTAATCTCGGTAAGATCACTTTTAATGCTAGGACCGAAAAGGCTGTCTGATTTAAAGTCTTTAAACCGGCTTCACACATCGTGTGCACTGAGAACAAGAAATTGAAATTTTGCAAAATAAATGCTTCTTGTGACATTTATTTCCGTATTAATATTGATTAGAAATAAATTAGAGATAAATTTGTGATGACGGAATATATATTTTTGCGAAATATACCTAAGTTTTCATATTATTCAGTTTATTCGCTGGGAATACCATTTTATTTCGCCGTATTTAAATAAACATTTATTTCTGTGAAATAAACCTTCTATTTCAAATCTTTGTTTTTTCTCAGCGTGAAATCGGCTTGAGAACAACAAAGGCAAGTAAGAGCCAACGCGGTCGGAGGTGCGTAAATTAAAAAAACGTTCACAATGTTATCGGACATGGTAAATAAGAAAGGAAAGGTGGAAAGAAAAATGAAATGCACAGCGTGACTCCTTGAATTTTAAATTCACGCACCTCCAGCTGCGTTGGCTCTTACTTGTCGTAATTACTCCAAGGATTACTTTTTAATGCGTACGACATTATTTCACGAGCCAGCCGAGCCGTCTTCGCGCGCAAAAATACGACTTATAATTTATAAATTAGCCGCAGGAGGGTTTTTCTCTCTAGTCGCACGTCGGCTGTGTGCGGGAAACGATCGAATGGTGCGGCCATCCGTCACGGTCCTCGGTAACACGGAACGTTGAAAAACTCGGCGCGGAGTCGACGCTGAGGTCATGACTCGTGGCTAATCAGCTCGCGTTTCTTGCACTGAGAAATGTTTCCGCGACACATGCAAGTAGGTAAGCGTCGACGGCCGCGACTAACCGCCCGCTGCCAATGCAGCAACAAAGAAAGTAAGAAAGAACCGAGTAACGAACGGACGAATGTAGATCTGATACTGCGGCCTGTCGCACCGTAATTCTACGCGTAATTTCAGGCCGATCTAGGACGTCGTGGAGAAAGTTTCGTGTCCGATATCGCTCCGGCATGCCCGTGACGAGAGTCGCGAAATATACGACGACGCTGAGAAATTTAAGGGTTAATCCGCGATCTCCGCCGTAGGTGCAAATTGCGGCCTCCGTTTCTGTGAGGAGGCTCCGTAGATTCTCGTGCGCGGCTCTCGCTCTGACGCCTTGAAACGGGAACGCGGAACGAGCGAGTCCGAGGGGGTTGTGTGTCGCAACGATTTCCTCGCAGCCGCGTATACATATCGGATCGCGTGTACGGCATTACCCGCCCTTATGTGTCTTGCGTTATACGGCTGCCGACGGAGGTCAAGGTCGCGACCGACCACCAAACGCGAAACTACGCAACGATCCATCGGGCGGAAAAAAAAAAATCAGCATCGAGATCTCCGGCCAATTCGAGATCGGGTGTATCCGCCTTGTTGGCAATTGACACGCGCTCGTCGACGGAGCACCACGTTGTGCGGGAAGTCCCGTTTTTCTTTCCTTCTTTTTTTCAAACTCCGCTCGCTATACTCGAGGGGGTTGTAAAAACACCGAGAATGTTGCGTTACAGAAGCGCGATACGCGCGAAACACGTGCGGAATAATTGTATTTCGTACCTGAACCGTGACGATATCGG